ATCGCACGCTCTATGACTTGGCTGCCTTCCTTAAAAGTGAGTATGCATGTGTGGGGCAAATAGATGTCAGATTGTATTGTATTGTTCATTTGAACAACTCAATTGACCTTGTATTTGGTGTGTAGCTATTGCCATCAGCGGAGTGGATGATGTGCGTTCAGTATTAGAGAACTACGCCCATGAGGAAGACCCCATTGAAGCTTTCAAAAGAAGGCAAGCACAGCTTGCACAGGTACTCGTCTCATTTTCTTTTTTCCCTGTCAGATGTCATATTAAGTAGTGCTTGCTAATATTGCATGAATATTTTTGCACACAAAGGAAGAAGAACAGAGACTTTCGGAGCTTGCGCAACAGAAGAAACAGGGGATTTCATTAGGTTCCATCGCAGGTCGTTTCTGGTCTCGGAAGCAGCAGTGAGGACGCGTCCTGCTCACACCCACCTTAAACGGTCCCACCTCGACTGTGACCAGCCATTGAGATGAAGGTCATGGGCAAACAGGTGGACGGTGTATGTGGGCGGGAGGGGATAATGGGAGCAGAAGGGCATGTGTGGAAAGAAGAACATCCAATCGGCTACACTGGAGGGATGCTACCTTGTTACAGGGGTTGGGATAGGAGCGAGCGACTCCGAAAGACGTTTCATTCCTTTGGAAGATAGCACTCCCTGGACTGCAGACACAGATATGGTGCCCTCATTTATGATCTCATTGATTAGAAATTGTTACGGGGTTGTTGGACTTGTTCTTGTCCACTTCTATGGCTCCCTTATCTCTGCAAGAGCAAAGAACTGCATAGCACCACATGAACTGAAGAACTGATCTTGTTTCCACATCATGTAGGCCCCATTTCAAACCCATAACTGATGCTGTAGGCAATAGCCTGATATTAGACTCCTATAAGTTTTGATCTTCACACGGCACATGAAGCAAAAACTTGGATTTGTGTTCATGCTGCCAACAAGACTGTCTTTGTCATGGTGATTCTGTTGCAGTGTGTTGTGGAGAACCTCTCAAATAAACCGAGCTCAATCTGGTGCTATTTCAGAAATGGCCCATCATGTCTAAGGATGTGCTTTGTATTGCTTATGTTGTGAAACACCCAGAATATCTCTAATAAACAAACCATAACATAATGTGTGTGATGTCATGGTATTTTATTTTTAATGCTGAAAGGTCTGATCCAGAGCAAATCTGCTTTCATCACCTTTAATAGTGTTGCTTTAAATGACAAACTTGTATTGTAGTTTATCATAAATCATAATGTGTTATATATATTTATGGCAGGTAGTTAAATGTGGTCCTGAAGTAAACAAATAATGTAATGTAAACAAAAATAAACACTGCAACAGCATTTTATGGTTTTATTTTTTATTATTGCCTTTTATTAAAAGTGCTCTCTTTTAGGCCTGTTATGTTTGTAAACACATTTGCAGAGAAATTAATGTGAATTGTTGATAAGAGTGGCTGCAGTATTTATTTCAGGAAACAAAATGTTGAGATGAAGTTAATTTAGATGTGTCTTGCCATTCATATAATGATATTTCAAATTGCCTTAAACATATAATCAGACTTAAACGAATTAGAGGGTTGAATATAACTAATGGATTTGTTGCAAATATTACAAATTCTGACTGTATGTTAACAAAAGTCGTTTTGACTTTTTCTTGTTTGAATTAGAATCCAGTATTAAATCAGTTTCTTCTACCATTAACTTCAACACTCTAACTTGATCTTAGTGCACTTAAAATAACACCCAGTCACCCGCATAATGTGTACAGCCTCTCTGACCGACCGATGGCCCAGCAGAAAGCTTCACGACGCACAAAATTTGAGTTAATTGAGAGACAGAATGCGAGGTGTTAAACTTTTGTCAATGTCACACCTTTACGTTTGACAGACGCACACGTGCCAATTATGCCTTTATGGTAACCACTGAATTGCACGAAACTTCTGTCTGGCCTCTGCAGAGTAAACTAGGCCTAAAACATAAAAATGAGGGGACATTTAATTATTTTGTATTTAGGCCTATGCAAACAGGTGAACACACAATCTTTAAATAAACGTTGTTACTAAAAAGTCTGACGAGCTTTAAATTTGAGTCAAACATGCCAAAAGAAGTAACTTCAGTAAAATAATTAATTCAGTACACACGCCTGGGATTCGAACTACAGAGTTCACTTGACTCATTTAAAAGAACCGACTCATAATAGCAATATTAGTTCGGAAACCGCACATAATTGTTGATTAAAAAGAATCAGCTGACAGAGTTATTCGTCCGCGAATTTAGTTCATAATAAGTTAATACAATAGTAGGCCTGCCTGATACACTGATTCGTCTGTACAGACTATAAGAACCGAAAGACATTCAATGGTTCAGTTCAAGTGGCCTTGTTTTAATGGAACGTGTTCTGAACTCGGTTTTCGGATTTATTTATTTTTTATTTTTATTTATTTTTTTTTACAAATGGGGCACAACATTTTCCCAGACCAATGAAATGAAGTCCCCAGTTGCAGAACAGACTTTTCCCCAAGGTGTGAACAAATGACATGCGAATAAAATGACACCTCCGAGCATCATGCACGTGCAGGGAGCCTGGGAACCGGTTTGTGTCGGGCACCGCGTGTCGCACTTCACACCTTAGAAGAGGGGCACCAATTCACATTTATGGACGCGCCTTCTGCCACTGGCTAACACCTCACCATAACTGTCGCCATGTGTCATTTCACCCCTATGTGCCAATCCTTCTCCTCCCGCCAGAATTCACTAACACCCATAGACACGCTTTATCCCAGCAAACGCGACGACTCTCGCACCGTTTGGATGTTAGACACGTGGATGGGAAAGTGTTAAACACGGGCGCGCAAAGCAAAACATCTAGCACTTCATTTTGTAAGTCGCAAAAGCGGGCGATGAAACTACAGTAGTAACTTTATTACATTTATTAATGTACCTGGGGGAAAGGGGTTGGTGTAAGTTTGATCCATCGTATAGGCTAAATCCTAGGCTATATCAGGAAACATCAGAGATGCAGCATGCGCGTCTTCGATTGAGCCAGATGGCTATTGATTTTGTGACTTTTCCTCGCTTTCCCCTCATCACTCTCTTTGTTGAATGAACATAATGGGCACACGACACCTATTTTGCTGAACATGTACCCCAGAGCGCATCAATACAAGCTTGGGCACGCGCACGTATCTCAGAACGGGGCCAGCAGGTTAAGAAAAAAGAATAGCCTATAAGTTTTCTTAATTTATTATGAGCCTAAAGTAACTTTTTAAGTTACTTAAAAAAACTTTGTAAAAGACATGCCTACCAGTCAAATTACTCCTCCATATCCAAAAATGAACTAAAAATATTAAAATGATAAAATGGTTTGTTTGACTATATATATTCTATTACATTTAAAAATAAATATTAGGGAAAAAAATTAAACGTTTTCATTTTAAGTTGTTTCTCGATTTTAATAGCTCGAATAGGTTGGTATAACATACCATTGCATTAAAAAACACAACCGCTGTATATGGATAAAGTGTGCTTCAACCAAGAGCTACGATTATTTATTTATTTGCTTTTCTTGTTTACACAGATAACAACTGTTATTTACGTATTCATCATTGTGTTCATCAGAAGCCAAGAAACCAGACTGTCTTAATAATTGTCCCACAATAAATTAACAATAGAGGTCCTTCTTAACCCCCTAATCATGGTGCCGTCCAGGCAAAGCGTGCCTGGGCTAAAGATGGGGCCAGCGGAGGCACGCGCTGCTCTCATTAGCATCACAATAGAAAATCACCAAAGCACGAGCAACAGTTTGGAACCCGGCGCATTGTTTGCGTGTCTCCTCTGTTTACCCTTAACATGAACGACAGAACCTTCCTCGCGTTAATGAATTCGTTTACCTGCAGTTCTTAATTTTGTTTCTGCTCGCATGATAACATAACTTGCTGTTGCATTAGCGCATTCAAGTAGCTACACTTTGAAATCGTGAATGCCAGTTTAGGTTATTTCAAGAACTTAATGAAAATAGAATACATTAGTAAAGAAGACAGAAGATAAAACATATTATATTGCCTACATATTTTCGTGTGTGTGGTGTGTTCATAAATGAAGAAAGCGAAGCGCAAACAGTGCGCAGGTGCAAGGATTATCATACAGCTGTAGTGAGCGAGTGCCCCCTCCCAGCACACGTACACACACTCTTACTGCAGAAAGCAATTATCTGCAATCTTAAATGCCCTGTGCACCCCCACCATTTCACCCTCTCTTTACCAAAGACCTACAATCCAAACCCAAGATAACAAAAGAGCCCTCCGGATCTTTCCAGGGCACACTAAAGCGCTTGCCGGTTTAACGACTCACACGCGTCAGAACAATTACAGATTTTAGGGCTGAATAAAATGGGATGTGCAGATCACCCCCAACCACCCCCTTCCGCGATCGGTGACGAACATTAATTCTAAGACGAAAACAAACTTTTGGAGAATTGCGTGGCACGCGGCATCGAAAAATAATAAAAATGTGCGTATAGTTAGTTAAAGACATTATTAACAAAAAATTAGATTTTCCCCACATCCTTAAAACTATGGCAAAGGGCACAGGTTTAATAACACTCCAGATAATTGTTTATAAAAATATTGTTTAGAATAGGAGACTCCTATAGGCCTTGCCTAAATTATAGGAACACAGTGTGGAGCATTTAAAAAGTGATTTGGCGTTTGAAATCATTTATAAACCTGCGCAGTGTAAATATTTAGTTAATAGTTAATATTTAATTTGCTGTTAACATAGCCTACTTTTTAAAGTTTTCAAACCGTGTTATTTACAGTTTATGTTGTTCTGTGATAGGCCCCTCTTTTACTATTCATGATATGAACGTAAAAGCGTCATGATGCACATTGTAAAGCACTTTTTATGAGTTTTTTCCTTGTGTAAGCCACGCCTTCTCTTGGCTCGCTATTTAAACCCCACGCGCAATACACACTCCACGAAAGGTAGCCTAAGTGACGGGTCTAAAGTCTCATGGAGCAAGAAATCTGTTTCTCTTTGCTTTGTAAGCTCCAACACAGACGACATTAAGATTTTTCAAATAGTTAAATAATTTAGCTTATTGCATTTGATATTTTTTTCAACTGCTTTTTTTCCTTAAATCGTGGATACCACTACAAACATTCATATCGGACTATTTTTGCAGTCTGCTATCGTCCAGTAGCAGACAAGAAAGATCCAAAATGGCTTGTGTTTTATTAACGTGTTTTTTAATTTTGATATCAGCGTACCAGGTGAGTCTATTTCACGTGTATTTTGAATGTAAGCCGCTTCTTTTGACCAGTGTTTTCACAGTGCTAATAGTCCTGTTTTTATTTCCATAGGCTGAATCAACCGGTGTGTTTGAGTTGAAAGTGCACTCTTTCACAAGTACAAGCAGTGTGTGTAAACAGTCCAGCGACTGCCAGATCTTTTTCCGCGTTTGCCTGAAGCATTCACAAGATATCATACTACCTGAGCCGCCGTGCACTTACGGCAGTGGAATGACAGACATATTCAGCGCGGACTCCATCTCCAGCAGTGCACATATTCGCGTGCCTTTTAATTTCAAGTGGCCGGTGAGTAGCTCAAAATCAGCCTTATACGATTCACTATCAGTTCTTACGTAAGCCTATGTAGGCTATATGCACATAATACATATTTAACATAGCTTTCTATCATTACAGGGGATTGTCTCGCTGATAATCGAAGCCTGGAACGCAGAGTCCTCTGACCAGTCAACAGGTAGGCTATGCGCCCTCACCTGTTTTCATTTTATTTTATTTACAGTAGGCTAGTAGTTAAACTTTTATTTGTTACGCCTACTTGTGTAGGCTATTTAACACACATCTTGCATGCATTTCAGAGAATATCAACAACATGATCAGCCGTTTGGCCACCAAACGGCGACTCGCTATCGGTGAGGACTGGTCCCAGGACGTGCATCGCGGAGAGCAAAGCCAACTGAACTTTTCTTATCGCGTCGTGTGCGACGAGTTCTACTACGGCGAGGAATGCTCGGATTTATGCCGCCCACGGAATGATGCGTTCGGCCACTTCAACTGTGACGCCGCTGGAAACAAAATGTGCTTGCCAGGATGGAAAGGCGATTATTGCGCAGAACGTAAGTGTAATCAAAAACAGAACGTAAGTGTTTTTTTTTTTCTCGAATGTTGTGCATTACCTTTTACGTGCACCGTGGAGATCATGAAAAAAGAGAGGACTTGCGGGCAAGTTCAACGGTTTCTTACGGCCACATTAAACTTCTAAGTTAGCTTTTGTTCAGTGCAACAATAGAAGCAGAGAGCATAATTTAACAAGGACACGCGTTGAAACCTAATATGCTCTGCCTTCCGTGAAAAAGGAGGCATGTGTTTCTTTTGTGTGTCCCCCAGCTGCTTAGTTTAGTACTTAACAAATACTTGATGTGCCTGAGCCTCTAGAAGGGGGGTTGTTTTATGATGCCAGTCATTCTAATGTCCCCCTTTTTCTGCCTCTCCCTTTTAAACAGCCATCTGCTCGTCTGGCTGTAGCGAGGCCCACGGTGATTGTGTGGCCCCGGGTGAGTGCACATGCCGCATCGGGTGGGACGGCCCCCTCTGCGACCAGTGCCAGCGATACCCGGGGTGCCTGCATGGCACCTGCAACCAGCCATTTGAGTGCACTTGCAAAGAAGGCTGGGGCGGCCTCTTCTGCAACGAGGACCTGAACTTCTGCACTAATCACAAGCCCTGCATGAACGATGCCACCTGTACCAACACCGGCCAGGGCAGCTACACCTGCATCTGCAAGCCTGGCTTCAGTGGCAAAAACTGCGAGATCGAGACCAACGAGTGCGACAGCAATCCGTGCAAGAACGGAGGCAGTTGCAACGTAAGCAGCCGGTTGCGACACTATCTGCCTGAGTTTTGCCGTGGAGCTCGAACATTAATGGCTTTTGCTTTTTCTTCTCAGGACCTGGTGAATGATTACACCTGCACATGCCCTCAAGGCTTCTATGGGAAGAACTGCGAGGTAAGCGCTATGACCTGTGCCGATGGACCCTGCTTCAACGGAGGAACCTGTACAGAAAAGGGGACCGGTGGCTACTCCTGCCGCTGTCTCACCGGTTACATGGGCTCTAACTGTGAGAAGAAAATCGACCGGTGCAGCAGTGACCCCTGTGCCAATGGTAAACGCATTGTCCTAAATGCAAAACATTCCAGCAGTGGTGGATTGTAACAACGTATTTTTACATAGTTATTGTACTTAAAGGGTTAGTTCACCCAAAAATGAAAATTAAGTCATTAATTACTCACCCCCATGCTGTACCAACCCCGTAAGACATTTTTTATTAAATTTGAGAGCCGAATCACTACCACATAGGCTCCTAAGGGAATGACACTTGACGGCCCAGAAAGTCAATGAAGAAAATGTTTAAATATTCCATGTGACTACAGTGGCTCAACTATAAGTTTATCAAGCGACGAGAATACTTTTTGTGCGAAAAAACAAACAAAAATAACGACTTTATTCGACTATTCCTTTTCTTCCTTGTTGGCCTGAAACGAGACTTCCATAGATTTCCACGACGCATGCGTGAGAACTGAACTGAAGTAGTTGAAGGAGATCGCAATTCTCGCGCATGCGTCGTGGAAATCTCTTGAAGTCTCGTTTCAGGCCAACAAGGAAGAAAAGGAATAGTCGAATAAAGTCGTTATTTTTGTTTGTTTTTTCGCACAAAAAGTATTGTCGTTGCTTGTTATACTTATAGTTGAGCCACTGTAGCCACATGGAATATTTAAACATTTTCTTCATTGACTTTCTGGGCCGTCAAGAGGCAGTCCCTTAGGAGCCTATGTGGTAGTGATTCGGCTCTCAAATTTAATAAAAAATATCTTAATTTGTGCTCCGAAGACGAACGAAGGTCTTACGGGGTTGGTACAGCATGGGGGTGAGTAATTAATGACTTAATTTTCATTTTTGGGTGAACTAACCCTTTAAGTGCATTTTAGAGGAGGATTTTAGGGAAACTTTACTTTTACTTCTCTACATTCCAAAGCATAATATACTTTTTACACCACTACATTTCATAAAGTTCCTCGTGTTTTTTTGTTTTGTTTTTTTTTTGTATCGTCACCAGCTCCGAGACGTGATAGTGGTGTGTTTTGTGGAACAAGCTGATTCTTTTCAATTAACCTGTTAAATCGGTTCGCAAATCGCACAGAATTATTCATTTGCGAATAGGACTGATCCGATTGCATCTGCTTTCGAGTCCACGACTCACTCATTCAACTGATCCCGTCAGAACGAGCCTCCAGTTCACTGAATTTAGAAGTCAGACTCAAAACGAGCCAAGAACGGGATCCTCGGAGATTGAGTGTGCGCTACTGATGGGGTGAAAAGTAAGCTACTAAAGCAAATTTTAGGATTTATTATTGTAAATGAAAATCATATTTAGGTCATGACTGTCAGTTGTTTGTAAATTTAAATCTGCTGTAAAAGGTGAGGTGTTTAAAGGGATACTCCACTTTTTTTGGAAATAGGCTCATTTTACAACTCCCCCAGAGTTAAACAGTTGAGTTTTACCCATTTTCAAATCCATTCAGCCGATTTTCTGATATTTAGAAAAATATCAGTAACCAGACAGTTTCTGGTCTCACTGACTTCCATAGTATATTTTTTCCTTCTATGGAAGTCAGTGAGACCAGAAACTGTCTGGTTACTGATATTCTTCTAAATATCAGAAAACCGGCTGAATACATTCGAAAATGGTACAACTCAACTGTTTAACTCTGGGGGAGTGGTAAAATGAGCCTATTTCCAAAAAAAAGTGGAGTATCCCTTTAAGCCCATAGTATTGAATGCTTGAATGAAAGCAGTAAAATCGATTTACTGCAATGTCAGAACCAGAACAAAAGTGGATGTTTCTTACTAGTTCAGATGACATTTTCCATTTATGTTGGTCATACTTCCAAAAAGAATAATCTGTGATTCTGAATGCCAGTATCCACACCGGACCGGTGACTGACAGACACACACTCTCCTCAAACACTGTGTTCATCCATCGAGGGTGTTGAAGTTCAACCATAGACCGTAAAAGAAATGAACCGAGCGATCTCATTGGAACTCCATTGAGACGATAGAAGCCCGTTTTTGGCGATTTTTTAGCACTTCTGTCCCTGACGCACAGACTCAAACAGAGCTTGACTACGTAGTGGGACGTGAGTGACCCGTTTGTCTTCTAGTGCTGTAGCATGAGAAATCTGAATCATTCCCTTCCGAAACTCGCAGAGGTGGAGAGTGTGAATAGGAGCTGTCCATGAGCTAGCAGATGGAGACAATTTTGCTAGGTATTCTGATTAATTATTTTGTCATTTTGCCTCCACGTTTCCCCGATTCCGCGCGAGCTTCTACTCATGGCCATACGGTAATCTCTTTACTGTGCGACAGAGAGTCGCATGGGTATGACGCAATCGTTAGCCTACTTTCACTAAAACTGCTTCTACGGGGCCATAACATAAGCTACAAGGTAATGGAGCTATTTATACATTGTCGTGTTTCTTTAGAAATAAATAAAGGACAAATGGGGTCTTCAAACGCCTCAGATGTAAAGTTATTTGCTGTCAAAGTGACGCCAAAATGAATGGGAGTCAATGGGAATGCTAACGCAAGTGAAGTTCTGCTACAAGATGTCAGCTCCCGCGAGGCTTCAACTTCCGGTCGATGGATTACCCCCTTGAGTACAACTCACAAAGTTGATAATTCCGCGAATGACTGCAATTGCAAATTTCGAACAGAGATGGCGACAGAGAAAAAAAACTGTGGACTCCAGCTTTAAGTACTTGATTTGTGTACTTCCTCCACCACAGCATTCCATTCCCCTCTGCCTCAGGCAACCTGCTGATCCTTCAGTTATTTTGTTTTGAGATGCATCCACACTCCACAGTGCATGACGTATAACTCATGCATGATAGAAAAGACGCCAGTGAGACGCTTACACTGATAACAATGTCTAGATAGAGCTGTCATAAAGCAATAGATGTTTATTAGTCTAAAAAATGTACCATTGCATTCCCAGGGGTTATAATTGCTCTGGTTTACTCCCTCGCCCTTATTCAGTTTGTAATTTTAACATCCTCTTTGTTGTTTTTTAAAGGTGGCCAATGTCTCGATTTGGGTAGCAGACTGACATGCAAATGCCGCCCCGGCTTCACAGGCTCACGTTGCGAAACAAACATAGACGACTGCGCAAGTAACCCCTGCCAAAACGCAGGCACCTGCGTGGACGGCATCAACGGCTACACCTGCTCGTGCACGCTTGGCTTCTCAGGCAAATACTGCGGCATCCGCTCTGATGCCTGCAGCCGCATGCCCTGTGAGAACGGAGGGACCTGCTACACCCACTTCTCCGGGCCCGTCTGCGAGTGCCCACCAGGTTTCATGGGAACACGATGCGAGTATAACGAGAAGCCCCCTGTGACCAGCCCTTCTCTTCCAGCGGCCATGGTGGTCTCATTTACTCTGGGCCTCGTCACTCTCTCTCTTGTGATCTGCGCCGCCATCGTGGTGCTGAGACAGATGCGACAAGACTGCAAAGTCACCTCGACCACCGTGCGCAACGACCTGGAGTCCATCAATAACCGCATCTCCTTGAACCCGTCCTCGACATTAGGTAGAGAGAAGGAGGCCTTCCTCATTCCTGGTGGTCCTTTTAAGGTGTCCAATAAGGATGTGGCGTTCAGATCTACCACCATGGACAATCAATCAAATTACAAGCAGAAGATGGTGGACTACAATCTGAGCATTGACGAAAAACCTACAAACAACAAGCTAGACAAGTAAGTTCGTGTTCATGTTTTCCAGCTTTTATCTGACGGCACCAAATGTGCTAATCTAACGTTGATGCGTTCTTCATTTCAGGAAAAACTCTGAATCTACATTGTTAGTTCCACCTTTGAACTATCCAAAAGAGGGAGTGTATCACCCTGTGTACATCATCCCCGAACACATAGAACAATGTGTATTTGCTACTGAGGTAAGCATCTCCAGAAGTTATTTATGATTTCAGTGTAATGCTTTCAAAGAAAGTACGTTCATAATTTCCTACACTTTTCGTTCTTCTTCAGGTTTGACAACATTTTTTTTTTTTTATCCGGAGTCCCTTAATCACCAGAGGGCCCGACCAACAAAATGTTTACAGTCTTAAAGGACAAAAAGGAAGACGTGAAGAGAGTATATATTATATCTGCATTATATTATTTATTTATTCATGCTGCTCAGTAAAAGGACTACTTTTTGATATGGACATTTTGCGAAGACAAAGCAAGAGACTTGAAGACTTGCATTATTTGCACTACTTTCTTTTCCTCTTTTTTTTTTTTTTTTTAAAATGACCCAAATAGAATTTATATATTTCATCATATTACACAAAAAAACACGAACTCTTTGGAAGAGCTGAGAAAAAAAAAACAAGGATTCATTAATCACAGAAGCCTTGAAAAGGAAGAAAGCAGACACCCTGAAGTTCATCTCACTCTCTAAATCACATGAAGCCCAGTCAATCAGCCTTATGGGCGAAGGAGGTGCAACTGAAGGATCTGGAACTGTGACCATGGAGTATTTTATAATTTATATTTTTTCGGATATGGTTCGAAATGCTATTTATAAATGGATCTGTGATGATAAGCAATCAAAGTTTTCGCCTGTGAACAAATGTCTTGGGAATCTACAGTTTATAATGGCTGTGATTTTACTTAGTGCCTACAATGGATTTGACTATCAGTGATGTTCACTCAAACCAAACCTAATCTTGATTAAGTGCCTCGTCTTTTAATGTGTTATAGCTCAATGAAGACGGTACTCCTTAGAAACACTAAAAAACTAACTTTTTTGAAATACATGAGTATGTTTTTCACCGAGAAAATGACTTGGGTTCAAATTGTTTAAACAGCAGTGCATGATGGATGTTGTTGTGTACAGCTTTCATCCTGTCAACGTTCACTGCTGCTAAGCTATTTCCGACATTCCCAGGGCTCGAAAGGACCAGCGGGTTCAAACTGATAGCCTCATCATTGTCAAGATTTCCTGGTTTTGTGAACCTCAGCATTAGGGTCTTTTTTAAAAACAAAAACGTATCATAAGGAGTAGATTTTTTTTTTTTTTTTTCAGTTTTCCTTTTTTTTAATTTGGCATTTGTTTCCTAACATTTTTTTTAAACCATTTAAACCAAAATAGATACTTTTATATTTTATATTGTCATTCTTAATTTAACAATGCAATATTGTTCAAAATATTCGTACTATTTAATTGGATTGTAAATAATTTGTATTTATAAAAGATAAATGTATATATGTTTATGTATTGTGCCTTTTGTCACAAGGCCAGAAATATATATTTTTTCATACAATAAATCCTGAAATAATTTACTTTGTATTATGACTTGTTTTTCTTCATATGAAACAGATATTGGTTATTCCAGGATGGATCTATTCAGCTTTCAGTTTTACCACCTATATGGTATAAATGCAACATCCAAAAAAACTTGTAAATTAATGTAGTGATTCAAAGTTTGATCACTATTAGAAAAGGAAATTATCTGTACAATTTTCTAGTCGAATTAATCAGAAAGCATTCCAATATTAACTTCACTAATTCACATAACGTAATTATTGTGTTGTATAACTAGTTTGGCAGCCAGATTTGCTGTTAGCAGTTCTGGTCAAAGCAGTGCAGATGAAGGCAGAGAAAAAGGGTTATTAATGGTCCCAGACAGGATCACCTGCCATTCACCCCCCATTCTTCCTCTTCCTCCATTCAAAGAGAGAAGCCGAGGCTTGGAAGGGGGAGGGAGGATTGAGCCGCTCTCGCTCTCCCTGGGGAGCGTTGACATGTGGGCCCAGCCTGGTCTGACACCTGTCCTCACCACCAGCCCACAGACACTCAGATATGTCTCTGTACAGAGACCCACCATCCACCTTTCTATTCATCACCTCAAAACTCTCAAAAATTAATTAATTCAAATTAATGCTGCTCTTTTCAACTTCCTATTCATCAAACAAACATATTATGCACCACAACATTGATAATGGTAAGAAATGTTTCTTGAGCATCAAATCAGCATATTATAATGATTTATGAATGATCATGTGACACTGAAAACTGAGAGTGTTGATGCTGAAAATTCAGCTTTGCCATCACAGGAATAAATTACATTAATATTAAAATAGAAAACAGTTGTTTAGAATTGTAATAATATTTCACAATACTACTGTTTTAACAGTAGTTGATTGGCTTAAGAGACATTTTTTTACAAAACTATTTTTACCCAAACCTTTTTTTAAATGACAGTGTAAGTGATACACTTCAAGGGATAGTTTACTTTAAAATTAATTTTTGATATATTTTAGCTTACCTCAAGGGCATCCAAGATGTTGGTGTCTTTGTTTCCACAGCATTTTCAATTTTGATATTTTTAGGTCGAACCGTTTTTGTCTGTCAGTCATATAATGGAGACCTATGGGGTCCACCTAAAAGAGTAAGCACAGAGAAGTCCAGATTAAACATGATTTAATGACTCGTAAATGTAAGTGCACATTGATGGCCTAAGACACGAAACGAACGGTTTCTGTGAGAAAATGAACAGTGTTTATATAGTTTTTACCTCGTGTAACCTCAAGGGCACGGGCGCTTTGTGGCTGTGGTTACACGAGGTAAAAACAATATAAATCCTGTTCGTTTTCTGTCTGACCATAGACAGTAAAATTTCACTTTCTGTCTGATGTCTGAGCGACTGCGCAGGCTCAAAGTGAGCTTGACGACAGTCTGCCAGTTGTAAATCTTCTAGTAGCTGCCAAGACAAATCTGAGGCTACGTTCGCACTGCAGGGCTTAATGCTCAATTCCGATTTTTTGAAAAAATGCGATTTTTTTGCAAGGCCGTTCACATTTCCAATTAAATCCGACCTTTTGTGATCTCCTATGTGAACGTGAAATGACCCAGAAGTGACCCGCATGCGCAGAAGAGTAATCAACGGTCCAAGACGTCACTTGTTGTTTGCAAAATAGTTCTTTTTTTTTCATATGTTGCGAGCTTTTGTTTTATTATTATTATTGCCACAGCCCATATACAAACACAGACAATAATTATTTTATCGACGGGCAGTTTGCACAAGATTTTTCAGATCCTCACCGACCTCGTCATAAAACCCGTTTAATTGATAGTGCGTGTCCGCGGCGCTCCTTGCTTTGTCACCGGCGGCCGCGGTGTTGCCAGATTGGGTGGTTATTCGCTACATTTTAAGGCATGTTCACATGTGTTTTAGCCAGGTTTTCGCTTGGAAGGCTCTATATCTGGCACCCTACTGTACAAAGTTATACTGACAGAGAGCGCATGTTCACATACACCAGAATGAACGTGTTCACAGTAATGTTCATCAGGCAGTAATACAGTATGTTTATTTCGGGTGAACGTGAATAATATGATACGCGAAAATATGAACGCGTTCATGCACTATCGTTCATTGAACGCGTTCAGGCACAACACTGGGGAAGAGACACGTCTGCAGTGGCCCATAACAGTGAGGAAACGCGTTGGAGTTAGCGTGTATTGGCTAGCTACAGGTGCTTGCAATGACGTGCGGGTCGGATATATGTGACCTGGCCGTTCAGATTGAAGTCGCATTTCAAAAGATCGGATACATATCGGATTTAGACCACATACCCAAGTGGCCTGGGTCGCATTTGAAAAGATTGGATCTGTGTCGTTCAGACTGTCATGAAAAAATCAGATACAGGTCGCATAGGGGCAAAAAAAAATCGGAATTAGGTCGTTTCAGCCTGCAGTGTGAACGTAGCCTGAATCACCTAATTCCTCAAAAACAGAAAGACAGAAAGTCCTGGGGTTATGACGCAATCTTTAGCCTGTTTTTTACAAAAACGGCATCTACGGGACCGAAACGTAAGATACAAAGTAATGGAGCATTTTATACATTGTCGTGTTTCTTTAGAAATAAATAATGGACAAATTAGGTCTTTGGACGCCTCAGATGTAAAGTTATTCACTGTCAAAGTAACACCAAAATGAATGGGAGTCAATGGGATGCTAACAGCAGGTGAAGTTCTGCTACAATGGCGGCTCCCGCGAGGCTTCAACTTCCGCCAACAGCGTAGGAGACCGACACAGAAGAGAAGAAATTCTTTGATAAAATTAGTTTTTGTTTCGCACGAAAAGTATTCTGGTCGCTTCATAACATTAAGGTTGAACATGGACTATTTTAACAATGTATTTACTACCTTTCTGGGCCTTGAAAGTGGCCGTTACGTTGCTGTCTATGAAGGGATCTGAAAGCTCTCAGATTTCATCAAAATTATCTTTGTTTGTGTTCTGAAGATGAAGAAAGATGTTAGGGGTTTGGAACATCATGAGGGTGAGTAATTAATGACATAATTTTCAATTTGGGGTGAACTATGCTCTTAATCTTCCATTAGCTTCAAGTAGCATAGCATTGTAGGCTATTCCTGTAAATGACTTGTGTTAGCACTCACTTATGCTTACAGTCTAATTGATTTTTAAACTGATAATAAAGTCTCGACATGAAAGTTTACACCCCTTTCATAGTCTTCATTCCATCTGTCTGCTCGTCAGTCTTGTTTGCTTTGCAGGAGTTTTAAAATCTTTTCCCTGCAGTTTTCTGTGCCTCTCAGATAAGCAGGCACCTGCGGCTAAGCTAATTGGTCACAGTGACGTTAGCTGCATAATAGAATATGTTGGTGTTAGATGTGCAACGCTGAGTTTCCCTAACGTTTCATATCAAACTGAAAGAAAAGAAAAGGGAAGGGCATTGAATCATTTCAGTTTCATGCAGTGATAAGGATCTTTAGACAGAACATCACTATCAATGTTTTATTTTTAAACCGATTGGTTTTGTTTTCTCTTTCAAGCTTTGTATTGTCAGGAAGTCTGTTAATGTGTGAACCTACGCCCTGCTAATGATATTGTGATAGTGATAAGGCTACATACATGATTAACTGGGTTGGCATTCTTATGTCATGATGTGTTCGAAGCCCACAACTTCTTAATCTCCAACTTTGGTCACTTAGACTTAGCACTGTTGTGTTGTCTGAACTTTTTGAGCGATAACCAGCGAAATTTGAACTAGGCAAAAACAGGATATATTTGTATACACAGAGCTGGGAGTGGCTTCTAACTGGCTAACAAGAGGTTATATCCTAGCAAGGTTTGTTTGGTAAGAGAAAGTCATTTTTTAGAACAAAAATAATTCACACTAAGAACAGTTTATATAACGAACTATAAAGATAACAATAACAAGCTTCCACATGAACGATCAACAATGTTCTGTTTACTATAAGTTTTGTCATCTGCATACGCTCACACTCTTTAAAGCATGTGGATTTAAAAACAAAAAAGTAGGTTATTCCTCTTGTTTTTGTTATTGTTGTTGTGGTGTCAACTTCCCTATTCTCATGGAATTAGAATGGTTATTAAAATGAGTTAGTTATAGTGTTTGTTGTGAACAGGTCTTAAGTAGTGTGAGGAGTGTTTACACAGAAAGTTCACACAGAAACTGCACAAACAGATAAAAATGAAGTTTAAGTTGTATACTTTATCACAGCCTTCCCTACATGGTGGATGGGGCTATTAAGGCTAAACATGCTAAAGCTAACATCAATACATCATGTGCATTTAAAACATTATTTCCTTCAAATGGGACAGCAAATGTTCCTGTATATTAAAAACGATTTGATATCCATTCGAAATGACAAAAAAAATATCATACACTGGCAGTGTACATGGCGTAAAGTGTCACATCATCACTGTGACGCTGCTTTGATACAACTGTATTGTGAAAAGCGCTATATAAATAAATGTGACTTGACTTGACTTGACAACACGCAAAGCTGCTGTTGACCATTTTTGAGGTACTCTATGGTATGCGAGTTGATTGTTTAATTGTGAATAAAAGCCCAAGGTTCATCATATAAAGCGTATGTCTCTTCAGAAGACTTTACTTTTTACTATTACTTTCACAATGTTTCTATTAATTTTTTGTCAAAGTAGAAGGAACTTTTAATGTAGGTTTAATTAAAATATCTTCA